CCATACTGTGGTCTAGGCCATGTCCTGCCAACTTTGGCTTCAGAGAGAACTTGGCCCACCCACCGTTGTAGCTGTGTGACCTTGAGAAAGTGACTTCGGCTGCCAATTTCCATCTGAGACTATATAATGGTAGCAGAGGTACCCATTTCTCATAATTACTATGAGTAATAAATTAGAATATATGAAACACCTTTCACAGGTCCATTTGAGGGAATGAGCAGGTCTCGTTAGAATCTCCTCTCAACCTTGAGTGACTATGTAATCAGATCCCAGCTCTGCTCTCCTGTTTGCTTCTCTCTCTTTCGGTCATCAGTAGTAAACCCAGTCCCCTTTCAGGATCAAGGAGGACACTGTCGATGTGACCTGAAGTGTACATTTCACCCGCTCTAGTCAGGGCCATGTACCCAGTCATCTAACTGGCTGTCCCGGAGCCCAGGTGCCTTCCCTCATACCTGAAGCATTAGCATCTGTCCTCCTGCAAAGAACCTGAAAGAAAGCATCAGAGAGTGGGTCTCTGCTGCGCAGCAGGCCGACTCTGGTTCTTCACATGGGTGCTCCCAAGGAATTGCTGGCACCTACTTTTACCACTTAAGGAGAGACGAGAAAAGTAGGGGAAGGGGTTGTAGGGTGTGAACTCAGGCTTAGGTTAGCCAGGTCACTTCACAGGGGAGCAAGACATAAAGGAGGTCCAGGGAGGGACAGATAACTGCTGGGTGAACCAGAAAGCCTAACATGTCTAGCAAGCCCTGACCTCACCCACAGCTGGTGCCTTTTTTATTTGGTGCTGGAGTCCAACATCAGGCCCCTGTAATCACAGAAGGTTGCCTGCTCAGACCAGGGCATGAGGCAGCTGTGCCCATGCCATGGGGAACTTGTGGAGGAGAAAAGCCTCCTTTGCTCGTGTAGTGTAATTGCCCTGGAAAACAGGAGTCCAGCAGGCACGCAGACTGCCTGGTAGTCCTCCTCCAGGCAGGAGTGTCCTCTGTGGTCTGTCCTTGTTCACTCTGAATTGAGGCTTCAGAATTTCAAAAGAGAAAAGCAGAAGGTGGAAAATGAAGGCTATCTTTCCCAGGCGTCAACCCTCAACTCAGGAGGACATTTTTATCAACATGTGTTCATCTTTCAGCCTGACATAGTGATGCTAAGATTTGTTTCTGGAAAAGGGTAGTGAGCTGACAAAATGAGGCCGTGCGGTGGGCTCACCCAGGCCTGTGTGGTTTCCCATACCCCGTGTCTCCTCCAGCATGACCTAGCATGGCGTTCGTTGCTTCCTGCTGCACATGCCCCTTTGTGTTTCGAGCAACATTTTGTTTAGCATCCAGAGACCACATCCACTCACAACACTTGTCCAGAGAGTGAGCTAAGGAAATGTTTAAACTCTTCATTCCAATATTGATGAAGAGAAAAACAAGTTCCTAAAAATCAAATTTCTTAACAGGTCCCACTGTGGTAACAGAAAAGCAGAAGCTAGGGGAAAAGGCCCCCATTTTCCAACACACCATACACCCAATTATGAAAGCCAGGTATTCATAGGCAGCTACATTTTTAATTCAGATCTGAGCAGATCTAAAGGTATACCCTCTGCTAACTGAAAGCAGAGGCAGTTTGAACATGAGCAAAGCAGGAAGGAATTATAGGGGCAGAAATTCACCAAACACTAAGTGGAAACATCACATATTTATGCAATAAAGTTCACACTTCTCCCCAGCCAATGAGCGTCATTTCTGCACTAATGTTTAGCATAGAAATATCTGGTCAATGGACATATGATTTGTGGGATCCCAAGTGGACCCCAAGTAGTTGAAATCCATCCAAGTGGAAGAAAAACTATATACATAAACATTTCATCAAAGGAAATATTCCCTAAATGTGTCTCTTCTCCTTCCTTACTGCTATCATAAAATTATTTCATGTCTCGTAAACTTTCTGCCTTTTCTGACATCAACAGCCTGGGGCAAGTTTTGTAGTAAACAGGCTTCTATTCTGGCAGATTTAGAAGCCAACACTATATTCAGTCACATAAAACATACTTTTCTCACTTTTTTACCATGAAAGCTTTTTGGCAGGTGATTATCAGGTTTGTGTCTTGCAGACTTCATAAATCAAAATCTAGAAGCGTGCAACACTTACCTGCAGTTGGTCCTGTGAAAAATGCAACTAGTAATTGTAGTAATTTTATTAGGAGACATATTTTATACCACTGAATTTAAGGACTGAACCATAGAATTTTAGATCTGAAAGGGTTTCTAAGTTCATTTAATTGAATTCTTGCAGTGATAGCAACAAACATTTATTGAGACCCTTCTGTGACTGGATACCAGGGTGAATACACAGATCAATAAAGTCACTTTCTGCCCTCAAAGAGTTCACAGTCAATAATGTAGACTGTATGGTGCTTTAATAGGGGTGAGGGGAAGAAGAGTCCTAGGAGTAACTTACCCTATTTCAGAAGTCAGAAAGGCTTGTCAGAGGAGGGGACATTCGAGCAGGATTTGAAAAAAGGGATGAAGTTGCTAAGCTAGGAAGTGTGGAAGGAGCAAGTGTAAGGATGAGGAAAAAGGTGTAGAGAGCTGAAGTGACACAGCCAAGGCCCCACAGTCATTAACTAGCAGAACAGGCCTGGAAGCCAGACCGTGGCCCTCTCTATCCTGTACTCCTGCACACTTCAGGTGGAGCCCACCCTCCAACTGTGCCCTTAGCCAGGAGCTTAAAGGGAAAATAAGCTTGTCTTAAACTTCCCTCACAATTCCTGTTTTTGAAAGAATATTCAAAATGAAACTTAAGTGTTTCTCTATAAGAACAGTGTTTAAGAAGCCACGTCTAACTTAAAGGCATTAGGAGCATGGATTCTCCCAGGCAAAGCCAATGGAAAGCAGAGATGCTCAGAACCCTGGGTTGTGTAGCCTTGCTCTGCCTGGCCCAGACTGCTTTATGAGATCACATGCTGGATGAGACCCTCTTGTCTTTAACTCTGTGTTAGTGTAAAAAGCTGCTTGTGTTAGCAGAGGGACAACATCGAGTGAGTGGAATTTCCCATCCCCTCACAAAAGGAAGCATAAATCTGCACCATTTTTTCAAACTTTTAAAGTCCTTTCCAAGTTGGTAATGGCAGACAGTTGAGAAAAGACCTTTCTGAAAAATGCTCCATGCTTTGAATTCCTTGATACCCCCCGTCTAAGCCTTTCTTCAAGCTCACCTCCAAGAAGCCTTCCCTCCATTGATTTTGCCCCATATCAGTTGCCATGGTATCAGCCCTAAGTGTTGCATTTAAGGCTTGATGCCCTTGTCTGGACACCTTTTCTGCACAGTTTCTCTCCTAATTTATAGACTCAGAATTGTAGAACAGGAAAGAATCCTAGGGTCATCCCTGCCATCACTTTCATTTCATATACGAAGAGGAGGCCCAGAGAGGAGAAGGAAGTTGCTTGAGGTCACCCAGCGTCGTACTAGAGGAATGGACCCCAGCACCCGGTCTCCTTATCTCCAGGCAGAGTTTCTTCCATGCCCTGTGCTGCTGCCCAAGTGGCGGTTGTTACCTCATTCTCCCAGTTAGGCTGCCAATTTCCTATAGGCAAGGCTCATGTCTTACATGGTACCATCTCATTAACAGAGGCCTTTATCTTGGTTTCCTGACTTAGAGTTGAATCATTAACTCTGCCCCACCTTACTGACATTTTCCTGCCCTTCCTCTGGTTCTCAGTTTCCTTCTCTGTTAAATGAGAACACTGGGCTAAATAGTCTGTTAGATCTCTTGAAGCTCTGAAAGTTTCTAGAATTTTCTACCTTTCCACTGAGTCTTTTGTTGTCTTCAGAGCTGGGCTCACTGTCCCATAGATCTGTCACCCCATTTAGTCTCCTCAGTTCTGTTGTGGGGTAAGTTCCCTCAAGGCCCAGATTGCATAATACAGAAGACCAGGCTTGGAATCCAAATGCTCGGGCTCAGATCCTGCCTCCGTGACTTAGTATCTATGGGGCCTTCAGCAAGTCACTTCATCTCTCTTTCAGCCTCTTCTTTTTTTTTTTTTAAATAGGAATAACAATGTTTGCAGATTTGGTGACAGTGAAATGAGATAAACTTGTGGAGGTACACAAAGAGGGCATTCAGTGTGTGGTGGCCTCTTTTCCCTTATTCCACATCCAGCATTAGTGAGAAATGGCTGTTCCAAATAAACAGATCTTCTCCGGGCTTACTACCTGGAGCTACAAAACACTGACTAATTTCTTACAAAAATCTTTCTGAAATGAACCCTGTATTTCCTTGATATGTCCCACAGAGTATACCAGAAGTATTAGGGAGAAGCAGAGAAAGTAATGTCCTTGCAGAAGATGGGCATGATAGCAGATGCTGGGGACACAGGTAGGGCAAAGAGAATATGAAAGGAAACTCCTATGTCTTTTGAAAAGCTTGGATTTTTTCATCTCAGCAAATGGAGAGCCATTGAAGGGTTTAAGCAGGAGAATGATGGGATCAGATTTGTGTCAGAGAAATCACTCTGGCTGCTGGGTGGCGAATGATTCAGGTAGGGCATGAGAGAGGAAGCTGAGAGGCCAGCCACAGGGCTCTTGCTTTAGCCAGTTAGAGATGGGGGGACAGGACTGAAAGATGAAAAAAATCAAAGGCAGAAAAAGACAGATTTACAAGTGTCCAGTAGCTTTATAAACAAGTTAATGGAAGATCAGCTCATTAGCAGAAAAATGTAAAACACAGAAGTATAAAGACCATGAGAAACACTCGATAACTCAACATCCAAAGATAACCACTGCTAACAAATCAAACTGCTTTGATTCACAAAAAAATTTGTTCAGTATAGAAAATCTCAGCATCCACTGAGACGAACCTCAGTACGAGTAAAATCAACGTAATTTTTAACTCTCTGGGTTCCTTTCAGTGATAGGGCCAGGAGAGCTCAAATGGGTCCTGGTTAGCCTGAGGCTGGTGACTGGGCCCTATGTTTGGGTAAAGACACTGCTTTCTCAGCTGTCCTTCTCTTCTCCTCCAGAGTCAGTGGATAACTGCCCCAGCAACTGCTATGGCAATGGCGACTGCATCTCTGGAACCTGTCACTGCTTCCTGGGCTTCCTGGGCCCCGACTGTGGCAGAGGTGAGATGTCCGCACCGCACAAGGGCTTCCAGTGCCACTCCCGGGCCCTACGGGCAGCTCAGGCTCCCTGTCTCAGAGCAAGTGCAGAACTCCAGGCCACCTCCTGGCCGCCCCAGAAGGGCTCCCCAAGGCTGTTCTTCAGAAGACCTGAGAGGGTGGTCTGCAGGCAGAGCCATGGCTGCACAGGCCGTCATTATCCACATCTGCGTGACACAGGAGGTCAGGGAGGTTGGGCCTTTACAGGGGCAGCCACGGTGCACTTCATGTCATCCAGGCAGGGGGGTGGCAGTGGAGTTGATTTCCCCTTAGAAAAGTGATCAGCCTCTGCCAAGCACCTTTGAATCTCATCTTCCGCTCATGCGGTTTCTCTCTGGCCTTTTGGAGGGGCCTGAGTTGCTGCCCCGTCCCTGTCACCTGACACCAGCACAAGCAGAATTGTCACAGAGACCACCTGGGAGAGGGACTTGGGAGGCAGCGCTTCTCCACACCAGACCCTAGTGTTGCTCCCTGTTTGGGCATGTGCGATGCTAATGGTAACCACTACTGAGAGAATTTAAAGGCTGCCCATGATCTTCCCTGTTCATTTGGCATTCATCTCAGTCCTAGAAGAACTAACCAGGAAAATGCCAGAGGAAATCTGTAGCCCTGAGAATTTGGCCCTGAGAAAATGACCCTTCCTTTGGCTTTTCCTCCGTTCTCTCTGTCAGCAGCCATTTGCTTAGTGCCCTCTAGGGCTCTGGGCTTCCAACCCTGAGCAAGACCCAATCCCAGGAGCTCTGAGTCTGGTCTGCAAGACCCATGAGTAAACAAACTATGACCAAGGGGCCGCTAGGAAGTGAAACTACTATAGCACGTAAGTGCAGGGAGCGCCTGTCACGGGAAAGGGAGCAGTTGTCTCAGTCTGGATGGAATGAGGACCAGGAAGGCCTGTCCAGGAGAGGTGACGCTGGAGCTGAGACCTGATACTTGAGCGGTGCTCATTGGTGGAAGGCGGAAATGGTTTTCCAGGCTGGGGAAAGAGCACCCTGCAAATACCGAGCCATGACCCTGCTGTGAGGATTCTGCTTATTCTTCTGAAAGTGAAGGAGGCTGGGTTTGAGGCAGCAGTGCTAGCAGCCCTGAGGAAACCCAGTGATTACCTGCTGAGTACTGTGAAAGGGAAAGCAGCCAGGTGGGGGCCGGGGAAGATGACGCAGAGAGAGAGAGAGAGAGAGAGAGAGATGAGTCACTTCTTCTAACAAGAATTACTGTCTCATCCCATATGCACTTAAAGTTAAGAGGCATGTATAAAACAGCCTTATTGTATCTCAGTAAAGCTGGTGGGTACTTACGCACAATGAAACATAATTTTTTTTTATATAGTGTCCTTCGCACAGATGATCACAAAGCCCTTTAGTCTAAGAGGCAGAATGGAAAGATAATGCTTTAAAGAGCCAAGTTGGGCTTGCTGTTCTCTTGTGGGGGCTGTAGTGTGCGGGGCTTGAGTGGGGCCTGAAAGGCAAGAAAAGCTGAGATTCGCTGGGTTAAAGATGACGGTAAGTGGTGCTGCAGACGAGGTGTGGGATGTGAAATGGAATGCTATTACAAGGAGAGCCCTGGAGGGGAGAGTCAGGCCAGGCAGGAGGCCCAGCCAGGCTTTTCCAGTGAGACCAAGGAACAGATTGGAGCTTCATGTCTGAGGGCCTTGGTGGCCTCACGCATGCGTGGGGGCCAGGGGCATTCGGTGGGCGCGGTTCCACCCGGCCCTGCACCACACACCTTCACCTATGACTGCAGGTGTGTTCAAACTGGAATGAAACAGAGCAAGAGAAGTGGGCTGATCGACACATGTGGGAAATACAGCAGAGCACTTGAGGCTCTTGGTCAAGCCAGCAGGCCGAGGGGACAAAAGGACAGATGTGGGGTCCCCTGGGCGTTGACTCATGCCAGGTTTCCTGTGCTGTCTCCCCAGCCTCCTGCCCCGTGCTCTGTAGCGGGAATGGCCAGTACATGAAGGGCAGGTGCCTGTGCCACAGCGGCTGGAAAGGTGCTGAGTGTGATGTGCCCACCAGCCAGTGTGTGGATGTGGCCTGCAGCCACCATGGCACCTGTATCATGGGTACCTGCATCTGCAGCCCTGGCTACAAGGGCGAGCGCTGCGAAGAAGGTAAGATGTGTGGGGGCGGCTGCAGCACCTGCTGACATGGAGGCAGCTCAGGGCCTCGAGGGCATCCAGGGAGCCGGGGAAAGCTCCTGAGCAGCCCTGTGCCCACACCCCACCTGCCCAGCCAGGCCCCCATCAGCAGGAAGTGACCATGGAAGAGGACAGACAAATCGGGCTTGGCCACTGAAGGGAAGAGAAGCGCCATGTATTGAGCACTTACTGCATACAAGGCTGTGTGCTAGAAGCCTTGTATTGTGTAAGGAAAATAACCTCCATTTGATGGTTGAGGAAACCAAGACTCAGTCAAATGACTTGCCCCTGGCACCCGGCTGGTTGGTGGCAGAGCTAGGTTTGAGGCCAGTGTTTCCAGCCCCAAGCGCTGAGCCAACAGTTTGTTTTAGACCTTCCAGATCTGCCTTCCATTACCGCAGTCGTGTGTGTTCATGTGTGTGGCTTTTAGGTGCTCATTAGCATGGTTCTCTCTCCTAAAGTAAGTAGAGGCCCAGGTAGATGGGGGCTGGAAAGGGAATCACCTATTGAACAGGGTCATCAGCTCTTTCCCAGAAAACCTAACCAGGTGAAACAAATAAATACCTTTGTTTCACAAATGAAGAAACTGAGGCCCAGGGAAGGGCAGCGACATGCCCATGGCCACAGAGCTCACTGATGACAGGGCTTGGATTCCACCCGGGTCTTCCTACTTCAGACCCAGTACTCTTTCCGCTTGTCTGCGTGGGATCTCCAGATGAGTGAGGAGTCTCGTGTGCACAGTTAAGTGTGCTTCTAAGAGCGCATGCTTAAGTTAGATGTAGGTTTGAGTCCTGGCACCGCCACTCACGAACCTCAGTTCCCTCATCTGCTGAATGGGGAGCTGCTTCCTTGCAGGGCTGATGGGAGCACAGAGTTAGGTGACCGCATGAGGCACTTTCAGGGTCTGACACACAGCCCATGCTCTGTAAATGTTGGATCTCACATCATTGGGACTATTCTGGGGACAACTGAAGCATGTTTCTTGTTTCACCCTACTCACTTCAGCTGGGATCTTTTAAAGTGGATAGATGTTGCCATTGAACCTGAGGGACCAGGCTAATAGTTGTTACCTCCCACCGTCCACGGTTTCAGGCCCTGGCCCCAAGGGAGCAACTCCAAGGAAAGCTAGTCTCCCCACCCATTTGGGATTCAACAGGTAGCCACCTCTCAAGGCATCATTTTCTCTAAAATGGAAAAGAATATAATGGGCCCATTTTAAGAGTGGGGAACAGAAAGGGATTAGTGTCTGAGAAGTATCGCCTCCCTGAGACAGGCTGCCTGTAAACCCCAAGTGTGCCTGGGGGTCTTGGCTCAGACCCATTAACTTGTTGCTGTCGGAGAGAGGAGTGCAGCCTTTGGAGCCAAGGGACTTGGCTGCCTCGTCCTGACAGTGGTGACCTTCACGTGCTGTCCCTTTCCCTTTTAGCTGCTTGAGGTGAAGACCTTGAGAAGAAAAGAAAAACAAAGAGATTCCTCTCGAAAGGGCGGGGCGTTCCCCCCTGGAGCCACAGCCTGCTGCGTGGGGACTGGAGGCTGTCCTCCGACTGCCGGCTGGACAGCCCGGGCCCCGGAGTGCAGGGCTCCTTAGAAAGAGTTGTTTAGCTCTTTGATGTATGTTATCTGTTTGAAAAGAAATGTTCTCACTCCCGCTTTCTTTTCGGAGGAGGGCCATCTGGTACTGATTCCTTTGATTATTTCCATTTCTCCGGTGGAGCGCCATGGCACAGTCCTTGTGTCTGTAAGGGGGGTTTCTCGCCGCCTTCATTCTCCCACTCCAAGCTCTGTTCTAACGGGTTTCGCTGTGTTTTTAAAACATCAGCTAACAAGCTTACCTTTCTCTGTCTCTCCCTCTTCCTTCTTCTGAAGTTTATTACCCCATATTTTTTAAAGCCTGAACCATGCCAACAGGACGCTTGGTGGGAGTTGGGGGAGGGGCAGAAAAGAACAATTTAGGCCTTTTGCTGGGAAAGGCAAGACACTGTGTTTTTGGTCCTGAAGAGCATCTAATAGCTGTGTGGTCAGTGAAGCGTGGAACATTTTGGGGTAAGAGTTGTGTTTGCAGCCTGGCCATGCAGGCCTCATCATTTCATTAATGAGCTAAGCTTCCACCAGAAAGTGTGGCTTGAGTGGCAAGCTCTGCAGAGAAAAATGGAACTGTTGGGCACTTCTAGGTGGAAACTAAGTTACACTGTCTTCTGTACGAAGTTCAGGGCACTTGCCTGCCCACTTCTTCCCTAGTCCTTAGTATAGAGCCCCCCACTCTGGGCCAACTGGTTCTCCCATGTTACACACAGCTCTCCGGGAAATAAATATTATTTGTGAAACTATCCTGGCATAATGGAAGGAAGACTTTAACTGCATCCCAGGGCTCCCATCACACCAGTGGCCCCAGAAAGGGAGGGCAGGTGCAGAGGCCGCCTAGAACCTCGCCGGCAGCACTTTGTGGTAGCCTAGGTAATGGCCCTGCCGCAGAATCAGCAGGGCCGACATTCTCCCTGCAGGAACTGCGTCCAGTTCAGCTGAGGTTTGCTGGAACCGTCTTCCCTGGAGGTACTGTCCCCTTTAAAACTCCCTCCCTCTCCACTCTGGCTTTGCCAAGTGGACCTTCAGAAGGGACGGTTAATCGCCCAGGGGTAGCCTCTCAGTTCCTTCTGATCTTTGTTCCCTGCCTGGACCATCTTCTGGGAGTGTGGAATTCGTTTTGCTGGCTCCTGGATCCCTATCAGACTTACTGTGTCTGAGGAACAGGACTGTGACGCCAAGGGCCTCTTGCTAAACTTGGCACCCTCTCAGCTTGCTGGCTAACAGTGCAGATTTATAGATTCAACCTCAAGGGCGCCTCAGAGACAGCTTCATCCCAAAGCTGGGGTCCAGGCACTCACGGAAGGGGAAATACCTTTATAGGCCTCAGGATACGAACTGCTGAGTCGTTTCCTGTCAAATTGGAAAGCTCTCTGAATCTAGGGAATATCATAGTAACCTAATGGACCAGAATAATCCTTCTGAGGTTCTGAGATGTGAGGAAGGTCATGAAATTTTATCACTATTATTAATTTTATTATTTTTAATTACCAGGAACTCCAACAGGTCATGCTTTAACCATTCTTAAATGTTGTCCAGAGGAACTGCAAGGGAAGATTGTCTGCCTTCATTTGGCTTTTTTAATTCTCCCCTTTGCCATAATTCATTTCTTGTTTTGTTCTTACTTGTTTTTTTAACCACTTCATGTGTTTATGTCTGTAGACATGTATGCGTGTATTTTTGGACCAGTGAGATTATAGAGGAAATAGCAAGAGATCTGTACTAGGAAAGAGTGATACAAGTGTGAATTGCTCCATTTATGTGGTTTTGGGCAAGTTATTTAACCCCTCTGTGCTTTAGTTTCCTCATCTGTAAAGTGAGGATAATGATATTTACCTCAAGGGTTGTTGTTAGTTAAATGAGATAATGTATAGAAGGTTTCAAAGCAAAAAATGACATAGAAGAGCAACTAAATTAATAGGAATAGTTATTGCTGTTTTTGTTATCATTATTTTGTTTTTAGCAAATGACTGCTCCTGACCTCTGATCTTTTTTATAATTTAGGTTATTAAATTAAACTTCTTTAAAAATATATAAATAAAAGAACTTTCTTAATGAGTTGTCACTCATATAAACATTCTGCTCCCAGAATGTTGCCATTTGTAAGGTCTCTGCCCATTTGTGTTTGTGACTCTAACATACCCAAGCCAAGTTTCCCAGTCCTTTGTGCAAATGTCAGATATGCTGGGTTATAAAATGTAATTAAATAAAGTAAAAGCATATCTGGATTATAAATAAAGTAAAAGCATCTCTGACCAGTTTGCCCAAGTCATGCCACTGAATGTGCTGATAGAATGAAAAAAAATCACTTCTTTGCAACAATTTATAGCTTATGTAGTCCTTTCAAATCCTCTGTGTCCTCACAGCAACCTGAGCAGTAGGTAACTTCGCCTTACCTGCTTTGTAGACATGGAAACCCAGAGCAGGTATGGACGACTGTGGTCATAGAACCAGTACATTTGTCCTGTGATCCTTGAACCTAGGACCTTGCAGGTCAAAAAGCTAAGTTCTTCCCCTGAAGTACAGGCTTCCTCGTGGGCTTCTGTTAGAGGAACCTGGCTATATTTGTTGCAGCTCCGTGGACACTCTTTTTCCAATAGCTACATGTTGGGACCCCCGCCAGGAAACACTCTCCCCTTACAGTTACAAGGTGAATAGGATCTCCTACCTCCCTGAAAGGGAAGACAGACTTAACAACTTTTGGTAGAACAGGGAGCATGGACCAACCTCCTTTGCCAGCTCTGCCTTCTCTCCACTGCCTTTTGTACTGTCCATGTGAACTGGAGCCATATGATGAGCTGGCCCCCAACCCTCTTCTCCATTTTCTGAGCAGGGCTCCGTGGCAGATTAAAGGTCTCTGTCGATTTTGTGTAGCCCCATAACTAAAGCTTTGATTTAGGAAAATCAGCCCTAGTAACAGAAATATCACTGGCTTCAGAATGAGAGAGCTGTCTTCAGGTTCCTCTCTGTAAGGGTTTAGCTGTATGATCTGGCATAAATTATTTACCTCTCTGAGCCTCAGTTTCCTCATCTGTACCTCACTGGGTTATTGGGAAAACTGAGCCTGATGATGTATATAAATCTCTTCCTAAAGTAGAGGCACAGAGCCGGTCACCCACAGTATTGTTCTCTTTTCCCTCCCTCTGGGTTGGTCTCTTGAGACCCGTTAGACCTGGGGCTTTAGGAGCCCTGCTGAGGACGATTGGCTGCAAACTACAGCTAGAGTCATAGCTGTAGTGTTAGGAGAGGCTGTACCCAGTGACCTCATCCAATTTTGAATAGTCCTGGAAATGGTTGACCTCTGGAAAGTAAGGTTTCAAAGTTTATATCAATCACAAGAATTTGGGGAAGATGATAAAATCTAATGGAATTAAAATGCAAAATATATTCTCATTTAAGCTGAGGGATCTCTTTTAGTCCCACAGTCACATAAATAAAAGTGCATTGTGACGTGGTAAACAGTAATGATTTGTTCTACAAAGATGAATGGAGCACCTCCTATGTACTGAGCACTGTTCTGGGAGGTGGAGATAGAAAAGTGAGCAAAACAAAACCTGCTCCTCAACTGTTGCAGTTATTATGGATGTAGAAGGCACCACTGGACAGGTAGTTCTTACTCTGTTTCCCCAACAATCTAAGAGGTAGGAATTCATATCCACATTTTACAGGAGAAGGAACTGAGACATCAAGAGGTAAACAGCCAGTTACCAGGTGTACCATTTATTTACTGGAGTTCTGGCTCATCACTCTACCAAGTGGCCTCTGCACCGGAAATCTGTGTCCTGCTGCCAGAATGCGTGAAGCCCCTCCACTACAAAGTGCAATGGTTCACTTAAAGAGGCCTCCGCTTTGCTGGGCAGGTGCTCACCTGTGTTGTCTTTCCTCTCTGCCACAGTGGACTGCATGGACCCCACGTGTTCAGGCCGAGGTGTCTGCGTGCGAGGCGAGTGCCACTGCTCTGTGGGGTGGGGAGGCAGCAACTGTGAGACACCCAGGGCCACGTGCTTGGACCAGTGCTCGGGCCATGGAACCTTCCTCCCAGACACCGGGCTTTGCAGCTGTGACCCAGGCTGGACTGGACATGACTGCTCCATCGGTAAGTTGTGGGGAGAAGAGCACAGTAGGGACGTGGGGAGGACCTTCCCATGGTGACATGCTCACTATTCATTACTGATGAGTGATCTGAACCTGCTCTCAGTCATGAGGAAATGCGTTACCCATGTCTCTGAGTGCTTTTCTTCCCCCAAACTCTAGCCCTCAACACCTCTATTCTTAGGTAGGGAGAGGATTCAAAAATTGTATCTTTGTGTTATTCCTTCCAGAATGGTGGTCTTGAGTGCCAAAGCATTATCCCTTAACCATGTGAACTATAACAATAGATGTGTGTCATTGAGATCTCGGCTCTCACACTATGATGGGGAGACAGCAAGGGGACAAACGTGGAGAAAACCCCATAAGGAACCTTAGGCCCGGCGTGTTTTCAAATAATCCTGCCCAAGGATGCAGCTAAAAAGGGGTAGTATCTCCAGCTACAATTTTTTTTTACAGTTTAATCACTTTTCTTACCACGCTATGCTATTTAAACAAAGCGAAGCTCAAATCAGCTCATTATGTCGTGTATTAACAGTTCTGGTTGTGATCTGGAAAGATGGTTGAGACCTTTAGCATTAATGAGATCCATGGGCGTTTCTGCCTTTGGAATACTTTGAATTACTCCTCCCCATCAAATGAAGAATTGATGTTCAATACCAGTCTAAACTGGACTTTTATCCGTGTTTGCAAAGCCTGTGCAAAGACATGATTGGGAACACAGATGCACAGGGTCTTAGAAATAATTCTTTTTATATAGCTCTGTTTATAGCAATATAATAAATGGTCTCTTAAAGCTACACTGGGTTGTATTGTTCATAATGTGACTGCAAAGCTAATTTATGGTGGGTATATAACTGTCCGTGCATTGTTAATCCATGATGAAACTCCACAGCCTCTGAAGGAGGCAGGTGGAACTTTGGGTGAGATCACTAAATATTCTTTTGTTGGCCCTGTAAAAGGAGGCAACAGAACCAGTGGAAGGGACTTGGAGCAGAATTGTGAGAGCTCATCTTCCTGAACTCCGCACCCACCACTGCCCATAACTGCTACCAAACCCTCCGCGTGTGAAGGAGCAGGGTTGCTCCATGTCCTGGGAAGAGTCCCAGAGTCTGGCAAACCTGGGCTCAAAAGTTGGCCCTGCTCTTTAGCGGTTCTATCTTTGCTCAAGTTACTTCACTCCCTAAGCTGCGCAGTGGAGATAATAATGGTTCTACCTTCTGGGGTCATTATTTGGAGAATTATTTAAGGTAATATGAGAAAGCACTTAGCATGCCACTCTGCTCATGATATGAGCTCACTAAATGTTAGCTAGTGTTATGATGACGCTGAAAACAGCCATTGGTGAGAGCCCTTGAGATTAATGAAGGCTTTTGATAGAGGCAAGATGAAATATGCCCTTTCGGAAATGTGGACTATAGTTTTTAAATCTCTATCCTATAACTGACTAACACAGTATCATGATTGCCACGGGGCCAGGCATTTAAAAGACGGCTTCAAAATTACTGTCTTCTCTTGCAATAGTAGTGACAATTCGTGTTTGCCAAGTGGTTCACAGCGTATATAGATGTTCCTCTCTCTCCCTTAGGCATGTGCGCGCAACAGCCCAGTGAGGCAGAGGCAGGGTGATGGGTTCAGGGAGTTGACGCAACTTGCCCAAAGCTCACTGGTGCCTGGCCGGCTGGGAGGCAAAGCCCAACCTGGGGCCCCAAGCCTAGCCTGCTTCCCAGCACTCGGTGCTGCCTCCCCACGGGCACGTGCCCCTCAGCTGTCACTTCCCCTCAGGAAGCCAGTTTGGAGGCTAGTGAAAACACTGCCTGGGCTCAGTGCCAGCTCCCCTGTGCGCTAACTGTATGTCCTTGGAAAGGCACTTGGCTTTGCCTCTATTCAGTTTCCTCATCTGAAAAATGAAGGTAGTAATAGCACCCACCTTCAAAGGCTCTGTGATCATTAAAGTATCTCATGGGTGTGTACACACACACAGCAGTGCCTGCGGAGGGTGAGCGCTTCATATCTTTCTCCCACCTCCCTTCCAAACACACGTTCACTGAGTGGAAGCTGTTTGAAAACTATTGATTCGTTGCCATGTAGCTAAGCAAGAGATGCCTCGCTGCCTGGATGCCACTAGAGCCAATGGGCTGTCGTGTTCAGGGAGTTAGTTACCGTGGGGGAACAGGCACTGGGCTCTTTCAGAAGACCTGCTCCCCACATATTGCATGGCCTCAGCAATTGCATGGCCTCAGCAAGTTGCTTAACTTCCCTGGCCCTCAGTTTCCTTTGAGGTAAAAAGACCTCCAGGGCTGTCGGAAAGATTCAGGGAGAAGTTACCAGTAAAATGGTTAGCAGAGTGTCCGGCATAACTCGGACACCTACCAGGCAGTAGCTCTAGTCGTGTTATTTGTGGTGTTTGTCCTGACATGGCAGGGCTGGAAAAGGCTGCCCAGAGCCTTCCCAGCAGGAGCTGCAGGCCAGCAGACACACCCTAAGTGACCCTCGCACCATCAGCAGTGACTGTGGGCTGCAGGGTTGGCGGAAATGAGTTCCGGCACCTCTGCTCTCCTAGGAAAGAGGACCATCTCTTCCCTGCAATGTCTTACTGCTTCGCACAGAGAACAGGATTTAATGAAAGCAGTTTAAATCAGCACTCCCTGCCCTCAACAACCAGCCTGTAATGAAATGTGAGCTGACAAGTTCCCCAGCACTTTGGTTAGGTATGTGAAAACTGAAGTCAGATTTTATCCAAGCATTTACTCAGGCCCCCGGGTTCCCAGCAGCTTGGCCTCCAGACCCATCTCAGAAGTACCCCCTAAACCCGGCCTCATTCCTGTGCCTGCCTTCCTGTGGAACCAGGTAGGAAAGCTGCTGAACGGACCCATGTGGTCCGGAGGAGCAGGGCTGCCTTGCCCCAGCCCACCCCCAGCACACCTCTGTCCTCAGCTCCGGGCCCGGGGGACTTCACTTCCTCAGTCTCCTGGGATGTGGGCGTGAGGGCAGAGGTGGCTATGGCGACAGTCATGGTGGGGACGGCGATTGCTACTGCTGGAATTGTGCAGATGGGAAAGAGTTGGAGAGAGGATATTACTTGCCCAGAGAGACTCAGCTGATCAGTGACAGAGTTTGAATTCCATCCAGGCCCTCTGTTTCTAAGTCCTCCGCCCTTGCCTTAAGCCCCCTTTTCATCCAGAGGTTTCCTTGTCAGTAATCTTGTCTTTCTTCCTGATAAGCCACACAATGGGGCATTAATTAAAAGAGCCACCCACTTCATGGTGCTTACCATGTTCCAGGTGTTGAACTAATGCTTTAGTTCCGTTTCTTAGGGAAGGTTCATAAGAACCCTGTGAAGGAAGTGTTACTAGTTCTATTTTCCAGGTTAGAAAACTAAACTCAAGAAAGTGAAATTTCTTGCCGGGTCTCTCCATTAGTAAGTGGCAGAGTCCAGATTCAAACCAGATCTGGCTCCACCGCCCCTCCTGATCACTTTGGTATGTGAGTAATGTATTGTAATTGTGCCCCTCTCTTGCCAAGCTATGAACTCCGTGGCGGTCAGGGTCTACTAGTATCCCTAGCACAGAGCCTGACACGCATTAGGTTCTTCGCTGAATAATCAAAGAGGAGGGAGGGGCTATAGCTCAAGGTTCTGCCCAGGAAGATCCCGGCACACTACCAGACAATCTAACCCCTTCTCTCAGAACTCCTCTCCACCCAGATCCTCTCTCTCCCTCTCTCTCTCCCTCTCTCTCTCTCTCTCTTTCTCTCTCTGTCTCTGTCTCTGTCTCTGTCTCTCTCTCTCTCTCTCTCTGTCTCTCTCTCTGTCTCTCTCTCTCTCTCTCTCTCTCTCTCTCTCTCTCTCTCTCTCTCTCTCGAACTGAAACCAAATCCCTGAGCTCCTTCTCTGTCACTTTCCAGATGCAGCCAGCCAGAAACCCTCCACCCCAACTAGAGAAGAGCTGACATCACTTTCCTCCTTCAAGCCATCTTCCCGGGGAGCAGCCCTACTGGGCTGGCGGCCTCAGCAGCTCTTGCATAAAGTGGGCACACTGCCCCGCTGGGGACAGACTGACTGCCCCCACCCAAGTGCTTTAGTTGGTTTTTCATCCTCTCAGCTCAGAGCTGCCTTAGAAAAGGGAAGGGATTTAACCTCTTAGATGGTCCTTAAAATTGGAAAAGCCTGCCTTTCTCTCAGAGCCTAATGACTTCTAGAGGAGATCTTAGGCTCTGTGGCATCTCCCAGGATCCCATTTCAGTCACTACCACTTAGACTCATCATTGTCCCTTCCCCTCCACCCCAGCTTCATAAATTCATACCTCATTTCCACTGCTCTGGAAACTCCCTCCAATCTTGTCTTCCATAAATGACTTATTTGAGAGGCCCTCTCACTGCATTTTATTCCTTGGGTTGCTGGCTCACAGAAGCAGTACATGGCAGAGATTCTGCCTGTAAAATGCTCGTGCTGGTGATGGTTTACGATTCTTATCATTTCATTGCAATTGAGCTTCATGGAATGGCAGGTGGAGATCTTTCAGGATCAGTGGTCCAAGTTTGGAGGCAACGTGTGCAGTCAGACAGAACTGCATGGGATTTGGAGTGAGACCAAGCTAGATTTTCAAAACTGAGCTTATCCAAAGAATAAGGCTAATGATACCTGCCTTGCAGGGTTTTTTTTTCAAATTAGCTTTAATTTGTATGTATAAAATGCCTAGCATGTAGCTGGCGTTCAGTGAGTATTCAACAAATAAAGTATTAGTGTATATTTTTGGAATGCATAATTAAATCTAAATTCACCAAACAGCCCTTAGACTCCAACAAATTTAAGTTTAAGGGCAAAATTTATAGGGAAGGTTTGGAGCCAGACCTGGTTTGAGACTATGTGACGTTAAACAACTCTCTTTCTCCGTGAGAGGCTCTGTTTCCTCCTGGTTTTGAGAGTCCCCACCACCTCCTCCCCCCAGCCACCTTCACTAGTCATGCGTCTAGGTGAATAGTCATTCACGTGCTGACACATTTAT